ACCTAATGAGGGAAAAAACAGCCGAACTGCTCCCACAGAAAAAGTCTAGTCGAAGGCCATACCTCAAAAGATTTTTCCTTCCCATCCTCAGCAATTAACGGCGGAAATTCAGCACATAGACTTATAGAACCCCCATACCGCTAGCAATCAGCCAAAAAATGCCATCACCGAAAATAAAACAAGAAATAGCACGCAGGAGTTTTCTTCCTTTCAAGAAGAAATACATAAAGAATTTTAAAATAAACACCAATTTACAACAAAAAACGGGCTTATTGAACAATCAATTCGAAATAAAATTAAAACGAAAATAAACGAGAAAAGCAAACAAGAACCCCAACCCAAAAACAATGGAGCCTAAATTCAAAGCAACGGAACACAGTGAACGGAGCCGATCGAATAGAAGACGGACGTAGTCCAAAGTAGCGAAGACGATAATCAATGAATCGAAATGAGCCCCTGAACAAATTTCAATCGATATTTTTTTTTCACTTTTTTCCAAAGCAATTAAACAGTGTCGTTTTTGAAAAGAAAGAAAAATGGAGCCTCAAACGCACACGTGCGCGTCAAGGCGGCCCTTCAATTGGCAAAGGGGAACTAAAACGCAGCTAAAAAATAAGGGTTCAAAACGCTGCCGTTTTGACTGAAATGGAGAGCAAACAACCATGCCACGTGTCGGGAAACAAAGGCCTTATGTTGTTTTCTTATAAGGTAGAGGGAGATATAGAGATAGAGATAGAGATAGAGATTATTGTGAGCCCATTATTACAGACTCAAATACATATTTTTACTAAAAACCCTAAAAAATCGCCTAAAAGACACAATAAAATTGACAAGGTCGGACGTGAGACTCTTTGCGGAGAGCACCCGACGGAATTAAATCGATGAGAGGACAAGCACCAAAAGAATAATAAAGTAACCGCACCTTAAATCGCCGGAGGAGGAGCGCAGCGGCCGTGAGTCGGACGAGCAACAATTAGTCGGAATCGCCGGAGGAGGACAAACAATCGATGAAAGAAGGCACTAGATTCACTCACCGAGCACGAAATGAAAAGAAAACTCTCAAATGTTTCTTCAAATTTTTCGCAGAAAAGAAAATGAATGTCGGGCGGGATGGCGAGAGAAAAGAAAAAGGGGAAAAATTTAAAAAATTGTGTCCAAGGACAATTATGTATTTTTGCCTACCAAAATGGTTAGATTTCATTTTTCTTAGAAAGATGCCTATATATCATTTTTTTTCTTAATTTAAGTGCTATAAATGGCCATTACCACTAAATAATACCCAAAAATTCACAAGTCAATCAATACGTTTACGTTGGTAAGTGATGGGTCTACTTCCAGATCTGGAGTAAACCGGTGGATGTGAGCTCAGATCTGCTTGAACCGCCTCCAAATCGTCACTAGACCGCGAGATACCTGCAAAAACTCAACGCCGGAGGTGTTTCCGGCGTAGAGCCTCCGACGCTCAAGTCAGTATGAGAGTGATGAAGTGAGGCTGCGCAGCAGCTATGGGGGAGAGGGAGAATGAATCAGAGTTAGGGTTTGGGTTACCTCGCCTCCTTTATATAGGAGTGAATACTTACTTGAAGTGCCCAAAATGCCCAAGTCGGTGGACTTAGAAGGTCCAAAATGCCCCGGTTGATTCGTCTCCCCTTGTTGCTGAGTCATCACAAGATTCCTTCTTATCCTCTTTGTAGTGGGTAGAGCTTCGGATATATTGCAAGTGTAGTGAATTGTCTTCACTTGTTTTGATCCTCGAGATGTGCATAGTCGACCTCGAGAGTTAAGGGGTCGACTTATGAATATGTGCGGTTTCGGAGGCTACGCTTGGTCTGACCCTCTGTGGTGAAGTCGTCTTCAGAGAGTCGTCATAGCGGAGTCGACTAGTAGAAGTCGACCTAGAGCATCTGATGAATGGGAGCTATGCTCCTGATGTTTTTCTCCCCTTTACGTCGACTAGTGGAAATCGATAGGCACAGGTCGACTTGCAAGAGTCGGCTAGACCAATTTCTGCCTCTTCTTGATTGCTCGTGACAGAATCGACTTTAGGGAAGTCGATTTGAGCATGTCGACAGACTCATGTCGAATGCGAGTCGCTCGAGTGGTTCACCGGTCGAGTAAGAGACCCCTGGACCGGGTTATCCTTATGTGGCTATATCATCTAGTCCCCCCCAAAAATTACTCTAAGCAGTCGACTACTTAAGAGTAAATTTGGTGACGTGTAGTTGTGTCGCCTTTCTGCGAAATTCGCTCGTCTTTGCCTTAGTTGATAACTCGTCTCGTCAATTAATTAGGGCGCACTCTAATCTCATGATTGCCTTTTCGGATAAGTCTGACATTCTGTCAGGCCTATTTCAAATATCAAATCTTGAAAACCCTAAAGTGACGCGCGTCATCTCCATCGCCGACTCCTCGAATTCTGCGCTTCATCTGGATCGTTGATTCCACTATTGATCTAACGGTCTGCCTCGATTGTCATCGAGTATAAATGTATTGCGTGCTTACCTTGGACGGCTTTCCACACTTCCAACTTTTCGAGCTCTGAACTGCCTCTAATTCTCCGGTGCTTTTTGTGCTATCTGCTTTCCGGCGTTCTTTCTCCGGCAACTTCAGGCTTACTCGTAATTCAAAACGACCACGCCATCATGTGTAAGTTCTCTATCTCCTTTACTTTTCGCGTTTTTGTTGGTCTTTTCCTTCTTCAATTTTTTTTCTGGTTTTGGGAACTTCTGTGTGTTCTTCATGTTCTTCACGAATTCCCCATGAATTTTACATTGGATCTCTTTTCGCGTGTACCTTGCTGGGATTTATTGTTTTTATTAGTCGTCGGTTGCCGATATGCAGTCGATTTTCTCTCGTAACTAAGTCGGCTCTTGTCGACTTGGTGGTCTTCTTTCCTTAGTTTTCCCTTGTCAAGTCGACTAGGATTGACTTGATAATCGAGTCGACTAAGATTGATTTGATAATCGAGTCGACTAGGATTGACAATAATTTTAAGTAAGTCGGGTTATCAGTAGTCACTGCTCCTTCCTTCCCCCTTTATCTTTTGTCGATCCTTGCGAGTCGACTTGGTTCGCTCTCATAAGCCTTAACTCGTGACTTTACTAACTTCGACCTTCTCCTTCTTTTTCTTTCTTTAGCTTCTGACTCGTCTCCTCTATCTGGCTCCCTCGGTCAGTAGATCAACGACTATACTCATCCTGTCGACGAGGGTTCCAGTTTTGATTCTGTCGAGGTGACTGGCTATAAGATGGTTTTGCTGTCTTCCCGTCCTTCTCTCCCTTTCGCCACTGCTTCCTCCGCCGACTGGGAGCAGCATGACCAAGCGCTTCTGGAGGGCGACTTAGTCGATATTGTGAAGAGCCCCCCTCGAGGAAATCTTCCTCGTCTCGATCTTATTCCTCGAGGTATTCCTCTTAGGTTCTTAGATATCCCTGTTTATAGGACGAGCCCTGTATCTGTACCAATAATTGCTCCTCTTCTCGACTCTCAAAATATTGTATCAATAGCTTGTCCCTTGGCTAGGTTAGCTGTTCTAAATCCATTTTGTTATGCCTCTGCAGCCGAAGTCGAGGGATTCAGAAAATTCAGTGGGCTTCCCTCAGATTGGGAGTTAGTCGCCCCTGGTCCTAGCGACGATTTTGCTCATCCTCCTCCTGGCTGTCATACGTTTTTTATAGACCAAGTCATCTTCGGTCTTCGCTTTCCCATCCAAGACGAGCTCATATTAATAAGCAACATGTACAACATACCAATAAATCAGTTTTCTCCTAATGCCATTCGCATTATGATAGCCTTCATAGTCGTTTCCCGAATAATACTCAATTTCTTTTCTCCCGAGTTTTTCTTTTATTACTACGGTTACCATCTTTCCAAAGGCGCCCATTGTTTGGGTCGTCGTGCTGGTGTTACTTTCCTTGACGACCTCTCGTCGAATGTCACCGAGTGGAAGTCGAAATTTGTTTTCATTCGTCCTGCTTCTGGCATGTACCCTTATGTAAATACGTGGATTACTTCAAAAGTAAAGCAGAATAAACGGCCTCGCTCTGACGAGTTTTCCTAGTTGTTGTCTGAACTTAATAAGCACACTTACAGTGCTCGCCAGTTAATCAAGGACCGCAACTTAGTCAATCATGCTCGAATCGTTATTTATGAGGATCTTCCTCGTCTCGATGATCCTCGTAAGCTCTTAACATATTTTCTTGCTGGTGTTCCTTCGAGTTTTAGTTATTCATATTGTACTTGTTAATTGTTTCGCCCGATTGCTAATATTCTCTTGTCGTATCTCAGTTAAGGCGCTCAAACGCTTCGAGCTGAAGAAACAATCGGCCGAGAAGCCGGCGGGTGGCTCTGCCCCTCCTTTTCAACCTGGTAGTGGGTCCGGGTCGAGGCCCGTTGGCGCGACAGTCGAGTCGACTGCAGCTAAGAAATCTAGGGTCGAGAACCCTGGTACTGCCCCAAACAAGCCGTCGGGCTCTAGCTCTCGCAAGAGGGTTCAGGATAGCCGGGCCGTCGTCCTAATCCCAGACGACCTGAAGCGTCGCAAGGTCGACAAGGGAAAAGGGAAGGCGGTGGAGAAGCCTTCCCAAGCTCCAATCACCGTCAAGGACTTGACGGTCAAAATGCCGTCTCGCCTCTGGAACCACCCTGAGCCTTATCAGGTGGCCTAGTACTTTAACTCTCTTATCCCCGAAGTCGACAAGGATTGTGTCGAGGGGAATCTCTATGAGCGCTCGAATTACGCCATCCTGTGCCTTTCTCGGGTATTATTCTTATCTTTAAACCAACTCGATTTTTGCGCTTTTCTTTTAAACTTGGTTCATTTTTTCTCATCTGGTTTCCATGTTCTTTCGCAGTTCCTGGCCGCGGCGCTCCCATGCTTCGAGGAGACGAGCAAGGCTCCTCTCGTCTCCACTAAGTCCCTCGAGGACAAATGCGAAGCTCAGCGCCAGGAAATCGAGGCGCTGAAAGAGGACCTGGAGGCCTCAAGGGCCTTGGTCGACAAGCTGAAGGCCGACAAAGCCGTTTTCCGGCACCTGAATGACAAGCTCAAGGCCGACCTCAACAAAGCTCGCGACGAGGCTATGGTTGAGAGAGAGAGTGGCGTCGAGGAGGGGCGTAAGACGTTTTTGAAGTCCCCGATGGGCGTCGTCTTCCTTGAGACCTACCGACAGGAGCTCGTCAAGGCCTTCTGCAACTCTCCTGCTTTCCTCGACAAGCTTTGCCCAGCCACCCTCCAGTACTTCGAGCATACCTTCGCCGCGTGTGAGGCGGTGGTCGCGGGATCCGAGTTCGAGGGGAAGCTCGACCGCGAGGCGGTTAAGGAGACGCTTCCCTTTCCCGAGGGCTATTCGGGTTACGACTCTCTCCCCGACGATTACCCATGGTGGTCGGGACTCGAGGCTTGGGCCATCCGCAAGGCTGGCTTGAGCACGCAACTCGAGGTTCCTCCCACCCCCTTGTCCGGTCCGACCGAACTAGTCGGGGCAAGTGGGGCTAGTCGGGAAGAGGCGGTCGAGGTGGAGGATGAGCAGCAGGGCACCGAGCCGCTTGTCGACAAGGACGCTGATGGGGAGAACCCTGAGAAGTCTGCCATTGTGATGATGGAAGGTGGAGACGACACTGCCGAGAAGTCGGACGCTGACTCTTGAATGTGTTTGTCTGATTTGGGGCTGTGCCAATGTTTGCTAGTAGTTTTTTTTCTCTCGTCTCGGCCCATTTTCA